GGCCTAGTGTGGGCTGGGGGTGGGGCTGGGGATGAGGGGTTTGGGGTGCAGGAGGGGGCTCTGGGCTGAGGTGTGGGGTTGAGGTGTGGGCTGTGGCTGGGGGTGAGGCTGGGGATGAGGGGTTTGGGTGTAGGAGGGTGCTCTGGGCTGGGACTGAGGGGTTTGGCGGGCAGGAGGGGGATCAGGATGGGCCAGGGGTGTGGGAGGAGGTAAAGGCTCTGGACTTGGGGGGTCGGTTCTGGGGTGGGTGCAGAAAAGGGTTCAGGGTGGAGGGGCTTTGGGCTTGGGCAGGAGGTTGGGTTATAGGGAGGAAGGAGGGCCCTGTCCAGGAGTGCGGGTTCTGGGGTGGGGCCAGCAATTGGGGGTTTAGGATGTGGGGGGGATCAGGGCATGGGTGTGGGGGGGTAAGGGCTCCAGCTGGGGGTGCAGGCCCTGGGGTGGGGCTGGGGATTAGGAGTTTAGGGCATAGGAAGATGCTCTGGGCTGGGACTGAGGGGTTTAGAGGATGGGAGAGGGATCAGGGCTGGGGCAGGGGGTTGGGGCTATGAGAGATGCTTATCTCAGGCAACTGCCGGAAGCAGTGGCATGTTCCCCCTCCAGCTCCTACGTGGAGGCGTGGCCAGGTGGCTCTGCGCGCTGCCCTGTCCTCAGGCGCCACCCCCACAGCTTCCATTGTCCATGATTCCCGGCCAATGGGATCAGCGGAGCTTGGGCGTGGGTAGCGTGTGGTGCCCTTTGGCTGCCTCTACGCTTTGGAGTTGGAGGGGGCACATGTTGCTGCTTATGGGAACCATGGCAGGCAGGGAGCCTACCTGAGCCCCACTGCACCGCCGACCAGACTTTTAACGGCCTGGTCAGCAGTGCTGACCGGAGCCACCAGGGTCCCTTTTCGACCAGGCATTCTGGTTGAAAACCAGACACCTGGCAACCCTGTTTTTACACCAGTCTCTCAATGTTATAGGTGACAATTTCCTCAGTCAAAAAGTGTTGTTGTACATGATGCAAGAGAATACATTAGACCTCGTCATGCCAGTACCGGGTTTACAATGGTTCCGGTGGCACCAGGTCCACACTTGGAAGGGGCCCACAAAGTGTTAATCCAGCCTGGGTCACAGCCCAGCAATGCGAAGAGTCAGCAACTTCCCAGTGCCAGCTGAAACACTCAGCCGCCTGGGGGAGCGCAGTGTGCAGGTGCAACAGAGACTGGGTGTTGCAGGGTGTGCTGGGAGTTGTAGTTTGCATGCTGCTGTGTTCCGCTGGGCCCCTGGGATCTGCACTGGCAGCTGCACTACTAGTCCCAGAATTCCCCATGCCATGCTATCAGCCACCCCAGCTGAAGTGTGCGGAGCGGACCAAAAAGAATCCCAAGCAAGGAAATGGTCTGGTGCAGGGCAAGGATTCCTGGCGCTAATCCCGCTGCGCCTTCCCTCCCTTTGGGGCACAGGATGGGAGCTCCTGTCTCCCCCATTCTCCTAGGGCAATGGGGAGCTGGGGGCAGCTGCGGTGCTGTGACTCCCGGGTGGTGTGCAGCCCCCCAGTGACCATGATGCCCAGAGGCACCTGGGTACTGTCTCGACCCTTCAACTTCAGGATGGGGGGTGGTTGTCCGTGGTCTCTGGGAGGAGCAGGGGTGGTGACGGCAGGGCTTGTCAGTGCTGGCTGCTGCACCCCCTGTCAGTGGGAATGCCCAGAAACTGCCCCCCTGCAATCCAGGGAGGGGGTGCAGTGTGGTTTGGGGGGAAAGGGGCAGTTGTGGGGGAAGTCCAGGTGCAATATAGAAGCCGGTGGTGACTCCATGTGGGGGGTGTAGGAGAAGCAGGGTGTTAAGGTGGGAGTTGGTGTGTGTGTGGTGGGGGGAGTCTGGGTTGGCTCAGTGCGGGGGGGATAGTAGAAGGGAGGGAGGTGACAGCCCTGGGGTGAAAGTGGGGCAGGGGGGCAGGCAGTAGTAGGGAGATTGAGGAGAGCCCTTCTTTGGGGGTTAGTTGTGTGGGGTGGAGGGAGAGCCCAGGTGTGAAGGTTAGTGTAGGAGCTTGAGGCTGGATTGTGGTAGCCTTTGGAGTAAAGTGTGTCTCTCTCTCTCTGTGGCTCTTTCTCCCTGCAAAAGATGGGCACCAACAATTTTCCTCCAAACACTCTGCCCCAAAGTTTTGTAAACATTATTGTACCAAAGTAGAAAATACAACTTAAAAAAAATGTATTCATGAAACATAACTTTGGGTGGTGGTGAGGGGAGATGCAGGTGTGACACCACTGACTGCTACATCCAGAATTAATATGGCTCATAAGTGTGCTAATTAAGCACTTATGTTCAGGGGCCCAAGCCGGCCCTGAGTGTTTAAACAAAAGGACAAAATTAACAACCCCCTTTCACACAAACCAAATTCAGTGGTATTCTGGGTATGTTGTTGTTAGCCCAGTTTGTTCTCTATGGGCTGAGTGGAGGTCTCAATCAAGTGTGGCTTCAAATATCTTACTTTGTTTTTGAATAAATGTTTCCAACCCCATCCTGGCAATACCACATTTACTATGGCATCAATGGTGCTGTCACGCCGGGCCCACACTTGGAAGGGGCCCATCACAACCACTGGGGGGCCCACAAATATGTTTGGTGCCGGGCCCACAAAAGGTTAATCCGGCCCTGGTCATGACACATAGGAATTAATCACAGAACTAAAAATTAATAGTAACTTAGGTACAAGTGATCATGACTTGACTACATTTGTATTGTGCACATTGAATGAATGCCAGATGGGGGGGCTTTAAATGGGCTAATTTCACAAAGCTGAAAACAGTTATGAGCCAGATTGTCTTGGAGGGAAGAATTTAATCAGAAAAATGTGGGATAATTGGGAAGTGAATTCTTTAAGAATGCTTTACTACCTGCCCTAAAAGCCACAATCAAGGAAGTAGGCCATAACTGGTTTAAAAAAAACAAGCTGGTTTAGAGGGGAAGTAAAGGCAGCTATAAAATATATAAATGGAAGAAAGGGGAAGTTGATAATAATGAATATGAATCACAAGCTAGGAGTTGTAGAAAATTAGTAGGGGAGCAAAGGGGACAGAACGAGAAATCTACGGCCAGCAGAGTTCAGGACACTGAGGAATTTTTAAAGTATATTAGGAACAAAATAATCTTAATAATGGTATTAGGCCATGACTAGATGGCAATGGTAGAATTCTCAATAGTAATAAGAAAAAGTTTTTAGGGAGGAAAAACAGATGATGGCATCATGTCATATGATAATACTCATCCCATTCTACTAGTATCTCAGGAGGGTGTTAAACAGCAGCTACTAATGTTAGCCATTTTTAAATAAGTCCCTATAACTTGTTCCAAGAGTATGGTGTTTTTGTTATTTTTAAAGCTGGCTGATGACTTGATGGACATTTAATGTTGATTTTCAATAGTCTTGGGACACGGGGGAAGTTCCAGAAGACTGGAAGAAAGCTACTGTTGTGCTAATATTTGTAAAGGTTAAATGGAAAGACCTGGATAATTATAGGCTTGTCAATCTGAAACTGATCCTGGGCAAGATAATGGGGAGGCTGATATGGGATTTGATTAATAAAGAATTAATGGAGGGTAATAGGATTAATACCAATCAACATGGGTTTCTGGAAAATAGATACACCTCTACCCTGATATAACACTGTCCTTGGGAGCCAAAAAATCTTACCGCATTACAGGTGAAACCGCGTTATATCGAACTTGCTTTGATCCACTGGAGTGCGTAGCCCCGGCCCCCCCCGGAGCGCTGCTTTACCGCATTATATCCGAATTCGTGTTATATCGGGGTAGAAGTGTACTGTTATATTAACTTGATAACTCTTTTTTTTTAAATGAGATTACAAGTTTGGTTGAAGGTGTTTGACTTGGAGGTATAGTGCATTTTGATAATTTTATATCATTCTGGTTTTTAACATAAAACACTTGTGACAGGATCCCCAGGGTGCAGCCTGGAACTGTGGAACTGCTGTGCACCCTTAATTCTCTCCAGCCTGGGCTGTCTTTCACAATGCCTTGCTAGTGACCAGCAGCAAACCCCTCCAGGCACTGTGATCACTCAGCACAACAGCATGTGGCGCCCCATTCCCAGCTAGATTGCATGAATGTTCCCAGAGCCGCTCATGAATCGCACAGAGAGAGGCTCCAGAGCCAAATCTCCCCAGCTCCCAGCACTGTACCTCAGGAATATACTTTCTTGCACTGCTCAAGATGAGCAATGCAGATTTATTAATTGGTTCACCACTGCATCGATGGAAAGTGGATATACACTAGCCTTCGTACCCTGAGCAGTTTTGCTACCCACTTCATACAAACTTACTGGTAGAGATAAACAGTTAAACAAATTTATTGACTACAAAAGAGAGATTTTAAGTGATACTAAGTGCTAGGCAAAAAGTCAGAGTTAGTTACCAAAATAAAATAAAATATCATGCAGTCTAAACTCTCTATCCCGGGCAACAACTAGACTAAGCAATTTTTCTCACCCCCCTGGATATTGCAGTCCTTAATATAAAGGTTTGTTCCTTAAACCTGGGCCAATCTCCTCTATTGGAGTCTTGTCTGCTTCTCTCTGTCTTAGGGCACATCTTCACTAGCAACTTTAAAGCGCTGCTTTAAGCTCAGTTGCTTGCAGCATAGATGGGGGCAGGAGAAGGACCCAGTATGTGTCCACTCCGTCTGTTTTATACCCTCAGGCCATGTTCTTGGAAAACACAAGTCCAAGCATGTCTGGGGCATTGCTCAGGGCTTGTCTACACTGGCAATTTACAGCGCTGCAACTTCCTCGCTCAGGGTTGTGAAAAAACACCCCCCCGAGCACAGCAAGTTTCAGCGCTGTAAAGCGCCAGTGTAAACAAAAAGCCCTGTGCTGGGAGAGTGCTGCGCCGCGACCACACAAGGCACGTTAAAAGTGCTGCCGCGGCAGCACTTTAACGTTGCTAGTGAAGACGTGCCCTAAGACAGTGAGGAGAAGACAAGACTCCAACAGAGGAGATTGGCCCAGGTTTAAGGAACAAACCTGTGTATTAAGGATTGCAATAACTTTAGCATTGCCAGTGTAGACAAGCCCTCAGTCTCCAGGCAATGTTGAGCAATTCCCCTTTTGTGGCCTCATGCAGATGGGTCATTGAATTGTTGCTCCTTTGCTGGACAGTGGTTGTTGTTGGGTTATTTGAAACCCTGCCCAGCTGTTGGTTATTTTCCTTGCTGTTGCCTCTGGGGAGATATCTGGCTGATTCCCCAACTTACAGCATGTTTTAGTGACAACCATACAACACAATTCTCATAACTTCATATGCATTAATGATATGCATATATGGATAGAGAAGTGACTTTCAGCAGATCATGACCTTTCTGCTAATACCTTACAAGGCATGTTTTATATGTAAGATAACGATTATATAAAAATGAGGAATATGGGGGTTACAGGATGCTCCCGCAAGGTATAGAATGTCACAACACTCCAAATAGATTAAAAACTGGCTAACTGATAAGTCTCAATGTAATTATAAATGGGGAATCATCATTGATCAGGTGTGTTTCTAGTGGGGTCCTGCAGGGAATGTTTCTTGGCTCTTAGCTATTTAACATTATTATCAATGACCTGGAAGAAACAAAATCATCACTGATGAAAGTTTGCAGATGACACACAAGTTGGGGGAGAGGTAAATAATGACAAGAACAGGTCACTGATTCAGGGTGGTCTGGATCACTTGGTAAGCTGGGCACAATGTAAATGTATACCTATAGAAACAAAGCCTGTAGGCCATACTTACAGGATGCGGAACTCTATCCTGGGAAATAGTGACTGTGATACAGATTTAAAAATGGAGATCTCCTAGAACTGGAAGAGACCTTGATTTGGGGGCCGTGGTGGGTAATCAACTGAACACCAGCTCCCAGTGCTAATGTGATCCTTGGATGAATAAATGGGGATCTCAAGTAGGAGTAGAGAGGTTATTTCGCCTCTGTGTTTGGCACTGGTGAGACCACTGCTGGAATACTGTGACCAGTTTAATCGCTGGTAGAATACTGTGTCCATAATTCAAAAATGATGTTGATAAATTAGAAACGGTTCAGAGAAGAACCCCCAAAAAGGTTAAAGGGTTAGAAAAAATGCCTTTTAGTGGTAGACTCAAGGAGCTCAATTTATTTAGCTTAACCACAAGAAAGTTATGGGGTGACTTGATCACAGTCTATAATTACCTGTATGGGGAACAAATAGTTGATAATGGGCTCTTCAGTCTAGCAGAGAAAAGTATAACACAATCCAATGGCTGGAACTAGACAGATTCAGACTGGAGATAAGGTGTATGTTTTTAACAGTGAGGGTAATTAAGCAGTGGAGCAATTTACCAAGGGTCATGGTGGATTCTCCATCTCTGGCAGTTTTTAAATCAAAGTTGGACGTTTTTCTAAAATTTCTGCTCTGGGAATTATTTTGGGATGGTTGTATGACCTGTGTTATGCAGGAGGTCAGGCTAGGTGATCACAATGGTCCCTTCTGGCCTAGGGATAGAATCATAGAATATCAGAGTTGGAAGGGACCTCAACAATTCGGGACTAGGATGAGGCCTTCATGGGGGGCAGATTATCCTACATCTGGCCACTGTGAAGCTTCTTGAACCTTCCTTTGAAGCATCTGGTGCCGGCTACTGTTGGAGACAGGATACTGGACTTGATCAGTGTTTCTCAAATGCAGCCACCGTGGCCACCAGAGGCTTTTCTTGCGGCCACAGCCTCCTGGGTGATGATTGGCGTGGGTGGGGTGGGGAAGGGAAGCAGCAGCCCCTCCCTCGGGGCCTCCAGCAGAGGTTGAGCCTTGGCTGGGGAGACAAACACTAGAGCAAGCAGCCAGTGAGTTCCCCATCTTCCTGGGGGTGGTGGGGTCAGGCTCCAGCCACAGGGCTTTGGGCTCCATCCCCAGCTCCTGCCAACATAGCTACCGCCGTTCATTGGGGATGGTTTAATTATGCCAGCAGGAGAGCTTCTCCCACCGGCATAGAGCAGCTACACGGGAGACCTCACAGCGACGCAGCTGCAGTAGTACAACTCGGCCGCTGTAATGTCTGTAATGTAGATAAAGCCTTAGTAGCTAGCTGGGAGGCTGTGAAAAGTGATATTAACATACAAGTATCACTTTTCACAGCAACTTACTAGCCAGCAAGTCTAAAAAAAAGTTGAGGGGGGAGCGAAAGAAAATAACAAAAAGGACAAGAACATGCAAAGCACCTTATTTGTGTTTCTAGTCTGTTTAGCTCTAGTAAAGAATAGAAACAACTGCACATAATTTTTATTATTGAGTCTGCAAAAAAAAATAAATTACAATGATTTGGACATGTATCTGTGCATATTTATTTAGAATTATAGAATCGTAGAATATTAGGGTTGGAAGAGACCTCAGGAGGTCACCTAGTTCAGGGGTCTCAAACACATGGCAGCCCGCAGAGTTATTTCCTGCAGCCCACCATAGGTGCCGACTCCACCAGCAACCAAGCTCCCCTCCTCCCCCACCCAGCGCGCTGTGTCTCCGCTCCTCCGCCTGCCTCCCAGCACTTAGGACTTTCCAGGTGTGAGGGGGAGGAGCGGAGACGCGGCAGGGAAGGGGTTGGAATGGGGCAGGGAGGGAGCGGAGTTGGGGCGGGGACTTTGGGGAAAGGGTTGGAATGGAGGCAGGGAAGGGGTAGGAAGAGACGGGGCGGGGCCTCATGGACTAGACGAGCAGTCAGGTATGAAGTTCAGCATGTATGATTCTTTCCTGTGAGTAGTTGGGAAGCAGGGCCGGCTGTAGGCACCAGCACTCCAAGCATGTGCTTGGGGCGGCATGCTAGCTCCCTTTTTTTTTCCTTGGGACGCAAAAAGCCGGGAGTCGGCCCTGAGCGGAGGTGAGCTGCAGCGGTAGGGTACGTGGGGAGGGCCGCAGGAAGTAACCGGGGGGGGGGGGGGCAGAGGAACTGCTCCCTCCCTCCCAGCTCACCTCCACTCCACTGCCGCCTGCTCCCCCGAGCCCACCGCTGCTCCGCTTCTCCCCCGTCCCTCCCAGGCTTGCCTGGGACGGGAGGGAGGGGTAGGAAGGGAAATGTGCCGTGCCCAGGGGAGGAGGCGGGGCTGGGGATTTGGGGAAGGGGTTGGAATGGGGCGGAGTTGGGGTGGAGCCGGGAGGGGGCGCGGGACATTTTTTTTGCTTGGGGCGGCAAAAAACTTGAAGCCGGCCCTGTTGGGAAGAATGTTAAAAGTGGCAACATATTTTGTATGAATAGTTACTTTAAAAAGTTCCTGCCATTACACTATGTTGATAGACTGTTAGTGTAGATCATCATCAGTATTACTGATCATATAAGGAATAGTTACAGGTGTTTATATTTTATTAAAACCCCTCTTCACATTACAGTTTTTAAAAAGTTAATACATCCACTTTTAATAGCATACTATATTCTTCATTTTTTCTATACTTTTGTATCATTGTATGAAAAAGTTTCAGCAATGCGGCCCTCAGACCAATACACTAGTCCTTACGTGGCCCTCGTGGGGATTTGAGTTTGAGATCCCTGATCTAGTCCAACCACCTGCTCAAAGCAGGACCAATCCCCAACTAAATCATCCCTGCCAGGGCTTTGTCAAGCCAGGCCTTAAAAACCTCTAAGGAAGGAGACTCCACCACCTCCCTAGGTAACCCATTCCAGTGCTTCACCAGCCTCCTAGTGAAATAGTGTTTCCTAATATGCAACCTAGACCTCCCCCACTGCAACTTGAGACCATTGCTTCTTGTTTCTGTCATCTACCACCACTGAGAACAGCCGAGCTCCATCCTCTTTGGAACCCCCCCTTCAGGTAGTTGAAGGCTGCTATCAAATCCCCCCCCCCCCATTCTTCTCTTCTGCAGACTAAATAACCCCAGTTCCCTCAGCCTCTCCTCGTAAGTCATGTGCCCCAGACCCCTAATTATTTTCATTGCCCTCCTAAAGTTGTTTTTCCTAAAGTTAATTAAGTATTCTATGAAAAATTGTCAGAGCGGCGACCAGCAAGAGTTGGTGGCTGCACTCTGAAGCCACCAAAAATTTGTTGTGAGAACTCCTGCACTAGATGGATGTTGGGTCTGATCCAGCCTGGCAGTTCCTGTATTCCTATGTAAGGAGTCAGAGACAATATCTGTCCAAACCAAACACTCAAGTTATATTTTACCCATGTTAATTACTCAAGGGGTTTATTATTGTTAGAGGAAGAAACTGATAGTAGGAAAAATACTCGGTAATTAATAATCAAGGCTTGTAGAGAGTCCCTGTTCACAGTGCCTCTTGGCTGTTGCTCTATCTCCTTAGTACTGCTCTTTGGTTTTCTCTTTTTTCCTCAGCATTCTCTGTTTTCAGCATTTTCTGAGTTTGGGTTGCTGTATTCAGTTCGAGTTCACAGAAATGCTGCAGTCGCGGGGCCTGGGTATTATGCCCTGGTCAAGTTCTATTCAGCTAGAGATGCCAGCAGAGCCCAACGTGCATGCAACAGGCAAAGATTATTTCAGAAATCTCCCTTAAAGGTAAGTGAATTAAAACAAGGTGTAACTTCCAGTCATTGGCTGAGAGGTTTCTAGGAATAGGGTGGTATCCTGGAGTCTCTGAGGGAAGGGACATAGGCTGGGGCCCTGAGATGTCTGCCTCAGGGCTCAGGGTGGTGCTGACGCAGGGGAACACAAGTGGCTGTAGAGTCTTCTCCATTTGAGGGTGGGGCTCATGGTCCTTGAAGCCCTGTATCTCGATGGCACGTTAGGGTCTTGCTGGACCCTCATACAGATCCAGCAGTAAATCATTCCCTTTATTTCCACTCTCTCGAGGGGTAGCTGCTGGAATGCTCAGGGGCGTCTGTTACACTAACATCGCTACCACTCTCTTCTGGAACCACTGCTTCCGTGGGGTGGGGCATCATGTCTGACAACCAGGGATGGCAAGGCTGCATTTGCCACCTCCCAGAACCACTGCTGCCTCTGAGGAGGACAGGGAGTGGGGTACCATCACCCTGGTGCTCCCAGAGCTATCAACGCTGGTTCTTCAGTGGGACCCTGGAGCACTAAGAGCCTGGTCATATGGAACAGGAAGAGCAGTGCTAGTGAATACTTACAGCTCCCTGCCTACAAAGCCAGTCTCATCTAATCCATCTAGGGCTTTTCTCCTCTGGGCAGGTTTGCATTTGCACCAGACAGAAGGCCTTTCAGCAGCAAGTCCTTGCTCTGAGGAGTTACAAGTGTAAGGAATTAGCCAATTATTACCTTGGCTTCAATGGCTGGTCGAACCGGATCATTACGGTAAGAAGCCCTTCTTGTATTCTTTTGTTCCCTCCATCATCCCCCCCTTTTGTTCCCTTCCTCATCCCCTTATTCTTGATCTGGGGAGCTGATGGAGGGATTCGAAATGGGGAATTGACTTGGTCTGATCGACGGGCAGTGAAGAGAGCCTTAGCAGCTGCATTTTGGACAAAATGTCAGACAATTACCTGGTTATTGGGTAGACCGGCCGGAAGGAGTTGCTGTACTGAGGGAGGTAATGAGTTCAGAAACTTAGCCTAGCACTAGGGCCAGACATGGAGGTACTAGATCTTCAGACTGTGGGGAAGAGAGAAGAGCCAAGATTTGGCAATACCCTGCGTGTGACGCGAGCAGTCAAAGACAACTTGGAGATTGCAAGCCTGATTGGCAGAGAGGGTGGTGGCTGCTGGAGCTTCTTGAAATAAAATGCTTGGCCCTCAGGGTAGAAAGTTTGGATATGCCTGCTCTGGCTTCACCATAGTTATTGGGCTCACTGTTTATATCACAGCCATCCCTTGTGGTAATAAAATTCTATTAATCTCTTTTTCCTACCATCCCTGCCCTCACCAGGTCTCATCTAACGGACATCCTCTCTTACGCAGATAAAACTAGCTCCCTGGATGGACCTCATGCCATCTCTCTGGCTCCCCTCTCTCACTGCTATCCTCAATTCTTCAACCAGTTGCACTGTCCCTTGGGTACTAAAACATCGGTCTTAGCGCCACTTCCCAAGGAAACCACTCTTGAGCCTGACACGCAACAGCTCCCTTCCCTGTATCTGCAGTATCTTTTCTCAGCCACAAAGGTTCCTGTTGCCGATCACTTTGATGATTGTCTAAGTATTGATAAATGCACAGTAAAAGCTGCATCAAAATCCTTCTGTGATGGTTTGAAAATGTAAATCCCAACAGCTGCAGAATATTTCTGGTTTTGACTTGGAGAATGAGGAGCTGGGAGGGTTGCCAGAGAGGCAGTGCCTGAAATACCTATGCGTTGTGGAAGTAACACTGCCCCATCATGGGATCTGCACCAGAGGACTTGGCATTGCTGAGGCATATGTAGAAAATGGCCGAGGTACGTGTCCAGTGCAATTCGGTAACTTTGTGATTGTTCGTGTTGATCGCTTCCACTCTGCTAGACGTTCAAAGGCACTAGAATATTGCACTGCAGGGTGGGCCTGTGCACTACCAGGTTGTCCAGCTAGGTGTTCGTAATAAACGCTGTGGGTTACCAAAGCTACAGGACCAGCACTCTTCTCTCCCTTCCTCTCCTCTCTGTTTTTTATCTCTATCTCTCTCGTTTCTTTTCCTTTCATGTCTTTCTTTAGTGCTCATTGGCGCTCCATCACAGGCACTTTTCTCGAATGCATTATGTGTAAGGCTAAGTTATTGTCACGGATATTTTTAATGAAAGTCAGGGACAGATCATGGGCAATAGACAAAAATTCATGGAAGCCCGTGACCTGTCCCTGACTTTCTAAAAATATCCCTCACAAAAGGGGTAGACAGGTTCAGCACCCACTGCGGTGTGGGGAACTCTGGGGTCCCTCGGCTTGTGGGGCTGGGGACTGCTGGGGGGGTCCACCCGCCATGGCTGGGCAGCTGCGGGGGGGGTCCCCCCAATCAGTGTGGGGGCTGGCAGCTGTGGAGGCAGGGCTGGCTGGGAGCTCTGGCCCCGAGGCAGAAAATGTCACGGAGGTCAGTGGAAGTCACAGATTCTGTGACCTCCATGACATAATTGTAGTCTTAATTACGTGAAATGGGTTTGATACTCGTCCGGTTCTTAGTGGACAGAGTGTCTGCATCACACACACTAGCTGGCAGCAGGGCTCCGCGCTGTCAGGTTGGCTGCTATGGGTGTTAGATGTAAACTCTTTGGGGAAGGAGTGGTGTGTCACTATATGTCTGTACGGTGCCTAATACCATAGGGCCCTGGTCAGGGTTGAGGTTTCATGGCACTTCCATGTTATAAATAATTTTAAAAGTGCTGCAGTAAACAGTCTTCCTACCAGAGTAATATGAGTTACTGGGTGAGTGTTTGCTTATCAGAAGGGATTTAACTGTGCAATAAGCTCTTGGTAGTACTGTATGACCATCATGCTTTCAAATGTAATCTTTGAAAATAACACTCTGCTGCCTTGTTGGGTTTAGATCCCCTTGAGTTTGTCATGAAAACAGGAAATGTTCAGAAACTTGCAGTTGAGAAAGCTCTGTCGGGTGCATTTCAGAAGATACTTCTCATAGTTTTAGGTAAGGCATTTTTATACATTGATTATAAATATCTGGAGGGTTTTGTCTGAGAATAGTTGTGTTGTAGGTTTCATGATAGTGAATACTAACTATTATAAATATATTTTCTCAAAAGTGTTGCTTAGGGTTGAAAGCTTCCTTGTTTGGTCTCAGCTCAAAGTTTAAATTTGTGTGTGTGCGCAAAGTTTGCAACAAATGAGTCAGCTGAGTGGAAGGAAAATATACTTGGCATATTGTAAAGGAAAAATTAGGTATTTTTGGTATATAGCTAACTGAAACAGCCAAATGTCTAAAAACCTGGAAACTTTCAAGTGCAAATCCTGCATTAATACTATATTGAGGTTGTAAATTTGAACACAAATCCAAGATTTGAAGAAGTTAAGGCTCCAATAGCAACATTAACCCAGCCCCACCAATACACATGATTTTTGACTACTGGCTAGCTTTCTGCTGTCTCTGGCCTGCAGTGTGGTAAGTTGTGTATTTTGTAACTGTTTTGCTCAGTGTTGTACCTGTTACCTGGGGCTCTCTCCTCCTTGAGCTTTAGAGTTGTTGTTACAGAACCTGGCTACTAGCCTACATAGGGATACTGGATACCTTCTCTCCTCTTGACCTGCTGCTCACGAACAGGGAAGAATTGGTAGGGGACGTAGAAGTGGGTGGCAACCTGGGCAGCAGTGACCATGAGATGGTCGAGTTCAGGATCCTGACAAAAGGAAGAAAGGAGAGCAGCAGAATACGGACTCTGGACATCAGAAAAGCAGACTTTGACTCCCTCAGGGAACTGATGGGCAGGATCTCCTGGGAGGCTAATATGAGGGGAGAAGGAGTCCAGGAGAGCTGGCTGTATTTTAAAGAAGCCTTATTGAGGGCGCAGGAACAAAACATCCCGATGTGCAGAAAGAATAGCAAATATGGCAGGCGACCAGCTTGGCTTAACAGAGAAATCTTGGGTGAGCTTAAACACAAAAAGGAAGCTTACAAGAAGTGGAAACTTGGACAGATGACTAAGGAGGAGTATAAAAAATATTGCTCGAGCATGCAGGGGTGTAATCTAGAATCATAGCGATCGGGGGAGGTCTCGGAAGACTGGAAAAAAGCTAATGTAGTGCCTATCTTTAAAAAAGGGAAGAAGAAGGATCCGGGGAACTACAGGCCAGTCAGCCTCACCTCAGTCCCTGGAAAAATCATGGAGCAGGTCCTCAAGGAATCAATTTTGAAGCACTTAGAGGAGAGGAAAGTGATCAGGAACAGTCAGCATGGATTCACCAAGGGCAAGTCATGCCTGACTAACCTAATTGCCTTCTATGAGGAGATAACTGGCTCTGTGGATGAGGGGAAAGCAGTGGACGTGTTATTCCTTGACTTTAGCAAAGCATTTGATACTGTCTCCCACAGTATTCTTGCCAGCAAATTAAAAAAGTATGGGCTGGATGAATGGACTATAAGGTGGATAGAAAGCTGGCTAGATCATCGGGCTCAACGGGTAGTGATCAATGGCTCCATGTCTAGTTGGCAGCCAGTATCAAGCAGAGTGCCCCAAGGGTCGGTCCTGGGGCCGTTTTTGTTCAATATCTTCATTAATGATCTGGAGGATGGCGTGGATTGCACCCTCAGCAGGTTTGCAGATGACGCTAAACTGGGAGGAGTGGTAGATATGCTGGAAGGTAGGGATAGGATACAGAGGGACCTAGACAAATTAGAGGATTGGGCCAAAAGAAATCTGATGAGGTTCAACAAGGACAAGTGCAGAGTCCTGCACTTAGGATGGAAGAATCCCATGCACTGCTACAGACTAGGGACCAAGCTAGGCTAGGCAGCAGTTCTGCAGAAAAGGACCTAGGGGTTACAGTGGACGAGAAGCTGGATATGAGTCAACAGTATGTCCTTGTTGTCAAGAAGGCTAACGGCATTTAGGGCTGTATAAGTAGGAGCATTGCCAACAGATCAAGAGATGTGATCATTCTCCTCTATTCGGCATTGGTGTGGCCTCATCTGGAGTACTGTGTCCAGTTTTGGGCCCCACACTACAAGAAGGATGTGGAAAAATTGGAAAGAGCCCAGCAGAGGGCAACAAAAATGATTAGGGGGCTGGAGCACATGACTTATGAGGAGAGGCTGAGGGAACTGGGATTATTTAGTCTGCAGAAGAGAAGAATGAGGGGGGAGTTTGTATAGCTGCTTTCAACTACCTGAAAGGGGGTTCCAAAGAGGATGGATTTAGACTGTTCTCAGTGGTAGCAGATGACAGAACAAGGAGTAATGGTGTCAAGTTGCAGGGGGGGAGGTTTAGGTTGGATATTAGGAAACACTATTTCACTAGGAGGGTGGTGAAGCACTGGAATGGGTTACCTAGGGAGGTGGTGGAATCTCCATCCATAGAGGTTTTTAAGACCCGGCGTGACAAAGCCCTGGCTGGGATGATTTAGTTGGGGATTGGTCCTGCTTTGAGCAGGGGGTTGGACTAGATACCTCCTGAGGTCCCTTCCAACCCTAATCTTCTATGATTCTATGTGTTTTATTTTATCTATCTATTGCATTTATATTATCATAGTACCTGAGTCTACACTCAGAGCTAGTATTCCGAGCTCAGGGGGAAATACGCTAGCTCTCATCAAGTATACCTAGCAGTGTAGCCATGGGAGTGGCCACGGCAGCATGGGTTATCGGCGGTGAATACATCTACCCAGCAGTTTCAGGCGGATTTGTGCTAGCTGTGCTGCTGCTGCACATGCTACCAGAGCTGCGCTGCTATTGATGCTTGTGCCAGCTTGATGGGAGTTAGCACCAGTATGGGAATCACACCCCTCGCTCACGCTGTAGACCTAGCCTAAGGGTATGCAAATTCATTTGCAAATTTGACACCATCAGCTCAGGATTAAACAAAGACTGTGAATGGCTATCCAACTACAGAAACAGTTTCTCCTCCCTTGGTGTTCACACCTCAACTGCTAGCAGAGGACCTCACCCTCCCTGATTGAACTAACCTCATTATCTCCAGACTGATTCTTGCCTGCATATTTATACCTGCCTCTGGAAATTTCCATTACATGCGTCTGACGAAGTGGGTATTCGCCCACGAAAGCTAATGCTCCAGTACATCTGTTAGTCTATAAGGTGCCACAGGACTCTCTGTTCCTTTTTATAGCTTAAGGGTGAAATTTTCAGACAGACTTGGGCTGCTGAGTCACTTGTGCACTCTTTAGAATTTTACTCCAAGGGCTTTGCCCCAGGTTGCAGGACTCTGTGGCAGAGTGGGGAATCCAATCCAGGTCTCTATTCTTAAAATAACACATACAGTAACTGCACTGTCTACAGGGAGCCCAGAGAGACACCCCTGTGTCTGTGTGCTGATACAGAAAGCCTGGCGTGACTTGAGGCAAGGCGATCAAGGTCACTCAGGTGGCCTCTGCTCTCCTCTTTTCCCAAGTTTGTCATTAGGGCCGGAACAAGGCCCTCTCTGTTTTGGGAGCGCCTCCATGGACATTCCTGAAGATGAATCCTTTAGTCCATGAGCATTTAACTTATCCCTGTCACAAGTTGCATGGAAGGGAAGAGGGTTTGTGGAAGGGCATTTGGACCTGACTTTTGATTAACTATTGAATTGGACTCATGCCCACCATCTGAACATAGGTGCCTCATGGGTGCTGATCCGTCAATACTTTGTTTAAATGAATAACTCCTAAACTTGCATTAAACATCGATTGATTGATTTTTTGCATTTAAGAAACAAAGTCAGTTTCCAGTCTGATGATTTTGATGGAGCAGATTTGGTGTTTAATATTTTTCATGAGTAGAGGAATATGCCGCAATCTTTCCAGCAAACACTGATTCTCACTCTCAGACCCTGATTAAAGCAAAGCACTTAAACGTGGGCTTAAGTTTCATGAAATCAATGGAATTTAAATATGTGCTTAAATGCTGTGCTGAATCAGAGCCTAAATTCCCACCACTGGCTTAGACTTTTAAAATGTCACTTAGGCCATGACTATCCTACAAAGCCTGTGCCGGCATCGCCCTCTAGTGTAGACGCCGTTTATGCTGACACAAGGAGTTCTGCTGCCACAGTGACACCACTTCCCCGAGTGGTGATAGCTAAGCTGACAGAAGCACTCTTCTGTTGACATAACTGCATCTACACTGAGGGTTTTGTCAACATAGTTATGGTTGGTTTGGGGGAGTGACTTTTTTCACACTCCTAGCCAATGTACTTCTAGATCAGGTCTGAAGTGGATTTCTGGAGTAAAATATCTGGTGGGTTTCCTGCTGTCAGACCTGACACTTGTGCAGAGGCAGGTAAATAGCATCCTCTTGTTTGTTTGTACCCTGCTTTCCACAGATTGTGGCTCCTCTGCTTTGCCAGTCTCTACTCGGCCTAGTTAAGTGCCTTTGGTTTTTCTGCCTGATCTGGAAAGCAGATGCTCTAGGCCAGAGGAAGGAATGGGGTACAGCGTGTACAAAGTAATTTCAAAGCCTGGCATTGTCAGACTAGTTTGTGCACAGTGTGTTCTCAAATGGGGGGCGTGAGGAGTAGCTTCATAAATCATTGGATTCCCTTCTTAGCACGTGCTCTCAGATCTCCCATATCTCCGACTCCACACAAAAGTCTAATCCCTTAAACCTAAACCTGCTCCCACTGAAGTCTGCTGGAGTCTTTCCATTGATGTTAATGGAAGCAAGATTGGGTCCTTAATCCTCAGTCCATATGTGAGAGCAGCCCCCACAGGCTCTTCTTCTTACCCTGCATGCAATGTGGCAGTTACTACGTGTTACTTGCATTACTGTGGGCAGTTTTATCTTACACAGTAAAGGTATTTGCATTCCTTAAAGGAACAAACGAGCTATAACCCCCACACCTGCCCCATGCCAACAATGAGAAGATAGAATTAGTACCTACTCCATCTCCGAACTTTCTAAATCGCCTGTCCCCATGGGATTGATACTCCTGGCTCTCCATGCAGTTATAAAGCAGAATAATAAAGCTCAGTCCAGTCTTGAGAGAGTATGGAATCATTTTGTGGTCACTAAATCGAGTGGTAAGAAAACACCTCCTTAGTTCTCATGTTGCATGCTTGTTTCAGAGAATGGTAAGGTGGCTGTGGAGTACAACTCTGCCCAAGAGGAACCTATTGATTCCTTAACAGACGAGGAGCTGAGAGGTCTTATTCAGGTAAATAGAGGCTGTTTTGTCTTGCACTGTCCCACGACAGGCGAGCTCGGCACTCCACTACAAAGGAAGCAGAATGAGCAACAGAATATCGTCGTGCTACCTCGGCCAACAGTAGGAGGGAACGTAGACACCAACTTGCTTGGGCACATCTCCTGAGACCGGCATGTGGGAACTGATTTCCAGTTTTAGTCATACTCGAATACAAGCAGCAATCATTACAAGTCCCTTTATCATGTATCTAGTAGATCCTAAAAATGCATTTCTTCTTACCATGTCCTAGAGTATGGTTGCAATTATTCAGTATACGGATATTTTAAAACGTTATTATTTTCTTGATATCATTACACAAAATTATGTATTTTTTTAAATAGCATAGGAGACACTAGGGATGCAGTGTAGAGACCATGCTCTCAGTCACATTGTAACAGACCCAGAAGTATAACTCATGACAAAGCCCAGGCCCCTGCTTCCTGTACTATTGTGTGGGAGTGACACACTCATTAAGGTTGAAAAGGCACTTCACTTCCAAATGAGTCTTTAGAGCAGTTTTAAAATAAATTACTCTCCTTTGGGTTGAACTTCATCTACTTGTTCTGAAGCTGACAGCAAAGAGTTAACAAAGGGATCTCAGTAAACTGGGTGAATGGGTGACAACATGAAAATGATTGTTGATAAGTGCAAAGTGATGCAGATTAGAAAAAATAATTCTAACTACACATACAAAATGATGGGGTCTAAGTTAGCTCAAGATAGATCTTGGAGTCACTGTGGATGGTTCTCTGAAATATCCGCTCAACGTGCAGCAGCAGTCAGAAAAGCTAACAATGTTAGGAACCACTAGGAAAGGGATAGATAATAGAAAATATCATAATGCAACTATATAAATCCATGGTCTACGTAAAACTTGAGTATTGCATACAGTTCTGGTCACCCCATCTCAAAAAAGATATTGGGAAAGGTGCACAAAAGGACTACAAAAATGATTAGGGGTATGGAACAGCTTCTGTACCTGAAGAAGTTAAAAAGGCTGGGAAGTGTTATTTACCCCTTCACATAATGGAAGAACTAGTGGTTACTTTATGAAATTAGTAGGCCAGTTTAAAACAAACATAAGGAAGTACTCCTTCACACAACGCACCATCAACCTGCAGAACTTATTGCCAGGGAATGTGTGAAAGCCAAAAGCATAACTAGGTTGAAAAAAGAATTAAATAAGTTCAGGTCCCTCAATGGCTATTGGCCAAGATGGTTAAGGGTGCAACATGACCCCATGTACTGGGTGTCCCTAAACCATCAACTGCCAAAGCTGGGACTGGACCACTGCGGATGGATCACTTGAAAATTATCCTGTTCTGTTCATTCCCTTTGAAGCATCCGGCACAAGCCACTGTCAGAAGGCAGTATACTAGGCTAGATTAGGGTTACCATATTTGAACATTGAAAAAAGAGGA